AGCGGCGCGGCGGGGAAGCGGCTCTGGGGCGGGCACGGCCGCGGCCCCTTTCATAGCACCGGGCACCCCCCAGCCCCCCCCTCCCTTCTCCCGCCTTCGGCCGCGCAGGCGCTGGGGGGCCGGACTGGGCCCTCCCCCGGGAGGGGCGGGGGGGGTCCGTGTCCGTGTGTCGTGTCTCCCCCCCGCCCCCCCCCGTCCCGGGCTGGGGGCTGCCCGCCGCGCTCAGGACCGTTCTCCGCCGCCGGGACGGGGCAGAGACGGGGTGTCTGGGGCGGGGGGGACCACACACGCTTGTCCGCGCTCCCGCCCCACGCGTGGCCGCGGAGCGGTGGGGAGGGCAGGGGGCGGCGCGGACCGGCAGGCGCGGGAGACGAGAGCTGCGGGACCGGAGCTCCTGTTGGCAAACCCGCGGCCGCAGCTCGTCAGCCCCTACTTCTTCTTCTGCCTCGCTCCTCTCCGCTCTTCCCCTTTGCTCTCGGCGTCCTCCTCGCCTCCTTCCTCTCCCCCCTCTTGACGCGGTCCCCGGTGGTCTTCGCGGGTCCCGGCTGCTGCTGCTGCCGCTTTTTGCTTTTCGCCTCCCCGATGCTCTGTGCTTCGCTCGCTTTCCTCTCCCTCTCTGCCCTTCTCGAGGTTGTCGTCTTCCGTGCTCCCAGCGCTGAAGCTGCCCTCTGGGGAGGAAAACGCAATTTTACACCGCGTTCCGGCACCGCGAAAGCAGGAGGGCACAAGGCCGGACAGACCCCCGCCCCCCCCCGCCGCCCTCGGGACGTTCTTCCTCCCTCCTCCGCCTCACCGGACCCGGTTGCTGACGGCGGGGAGCGGGCACCGGGAGCCGGCCGGACCCGGGCTCGTCCCCCCGGGCCGGGACCGGCCGTGGACCGCCGCGGACCCCGGGGCGGAGGGCGGGCTGGGGAGGTGCCGCCATCTGCTGCCCGGGCTCGGCACCGCTGCGGGGCGGGGGGCGCGGCGGTGGGGATGGCGAGAGGAACTTCGGCCCGGGTGTCCGTGCCGGGCTCGCGAGGAAATCGATACTACGTGAATTCGAAGATGCGGCTGATGTTTTCAAAGGCCTCAGCGCTGCGGGTCGCATTCAGGCACGGTCACGTTTTGCTGCCGACCGCGTTCCGGGCCACCGTTTCTGCATTCTGGGCTCTGGAGCTGCTCTCGGTGTTCTTAAAAGCGGTTTCTTAAATGGGTGGCACCGAAGAGTGAAGCCAGGCTCCGTCACTGTTCTCGAGGCTTCATTGACATCGCTTACTTTGGTTTACACCAGCTCAAGATTCAACCTTCGCTACCAAAAAACTGAGGCCGCTAATTTTAACTATGCTATGGCTTCACATATAAATGAATTCCTGCTACTATGTGCTAGTACAGAGGATGCAATATGGGCCAGAATTTCGGGTGCTTGCTACCAGGGAATGGGGTGCTTTGTTCCCATGCCTCAGTCTGTGCTCAAGAAAAGGAAAGTGGACGATTTTGATATTTATGGGGTGCGGAGGTCTAAATGACAACTACCTTTAAGAGAGTAAGCTGTCGTTTCTTCTCTTCTTCCATGCAGCTCTTCAATGAAGCTTTTGCTCACATCATCTAAGGCCTGAAAGTGATACGGCTCATTAATAAAAGCTCTAGAAATGCAGTTACATACTTAAGTTTTTCCTGCTTTCTTTTGATCTCTGCTGTCATTACCACATCCTTTCTTACCATAAAACTCTCTGCAACAATATTCTTCATTTCTCTTTGCAGTGATTCCTACCTGTTAGTATCCCTTATCAAATGTCTCCTCACCTGAAGATTCCATCTCTCTCACGCTATCGTTTTTCTTCTGGCAGGAGAACGGGCTCTGCCTGAGCTCTGGACACTCGTCAGGGATAACCAAATAGGTAAGTGTCTGTGCTGTAACTGTTGCCTGGCAAGGCGTGCGCAGTCAGATCACCCACAACCCACTGTTGGGTCAATGAAGGCTGGCTACCAGAACATGCAGACTGCTTTACTATGGGTCATTGGCCATGCCCAGAAGTTCTTCCATGGTTTGATGCAAAGTGGTTTCTCTGGGACATTTTGGAAAGGCCAGAAAAGGGTGAGCTGTGATCAGCAGCTGATAGCAACTGAGCACAGGGAAGGCACCGTTGTATTCTGTGTGTGAAATGTGTGCCCCAGGGAGGTCAAAGGAAAACTTTCCTTTGACCAGCAGGGCTGGGGCTTCATCCTTTTATGTGTTGGACTGGTTCATAAACTGGGGTTAAGTTTTCTGAGCCAGGAGGTTTCATAACTTTTAATACATAAACTGATTCAGAGGCTGCATTTTCCCCCTCTTAACATGCTAGCTGTGCAGTGATGTTTTCTCAGTTCACAGGACACTAGACAATAGTTACAGCTACCTTACTAATGCTGCCCCAAGCCTCTCTCCTCTTTGCAACAGCCCACTTACTTACACTAATGATGGCCTTTTGAGCATCTTCATTGTGAATAAGCTTTGCCTTCTCAAGTGCTTTTTCAAAGTTCAAAATTGCAGACCGGTAATCCTTTAATTTTACTGTAATAGACAAATGAAAACAACTATTTTAACCCAAGATCAAGAGAACAACAACAGCTAAGCAAGCAAGTCTCTGATGAGAGGTCTTGATGTGAACAATTACTTTGGGTGTTAAATCACAGAGATGTTTTCACTAAGATGCTGAACAGACAGGCTGTCTTTATCCTTAAAGTAAAGTATGTATTAACGCCTTTACCTTGTGCTTGTGCCACTAGTACAGTAGCATGGAGTTGCCACTCAACATCTCCTTCTTCATCTGCTGACTGCAGGGACTTCTGTCCATAATTTTGGGCTGCTTCAGCTTTATCCAGCTCGAGGTAACATTGGCCAATTTCATGGAACAGCCAGGTCTTTTCCAGGCTGGATTTTGCCATTGGAATCTTCTCCTCCCAACTTCAAGCAGAGAGTAAGACAGACAGACACACATTTACCAAATCTCACTAGGTACACTTACAATTTCAACCACTGATTCTATTAAAAAAAGGGTTCCTGGTACTGTTGGTATAAAAAATTTCACAGGCCCCCTTGCTAGCAGTACGAATAAGCAAACTGAAAAGACATAATCTATTTAATTCAAAATACAGCCTTACGCTTTTTCTGTTACTAATTTTACATACGTGTCAATAGCTTGCTGGAATTTGCCGATTCTGGCATAAACTCTGCCAATGTTATCAAGGGCTCTGGATACAGCATCTGGCAGATCACTGCATTGAAAAGAAAAAGAAATCATAGTAGCTGACATAGTCTTGTTCCTGATACAGTCTGAGCTTTGTTCAGCCTTACTTGTTTTCTTTGGTGCTCAACATGACTTCAGGCTAAGTGCTGAGAAGTAGTGGTAAAGGACCAATGTCATACTGAAAGTCATAAAATCAAGGTAGATTTTTTATTTTACCTACAGCTGTTGCAACTGACACCCCATAAGACACAGAGGAAAATGCTTTAGTTTTGTCTTGGGTTGGTTTTTTTTTTGGGGGGGGGGGGGGGGGGGGGGGGCGCAAATCTAGCAGTTCTTGTGAAAGTCTTTCCACTTTTATTTGCCTCAACTTCGCTTTGTTGCCTTGTGGGTCCCACAGAAGTCCCTACCAGCTCCTGGGTCCCTAACACTGATAGATGATTTCTGTCCAAGAGAAAAGGGAAGACCCCAAAACGTGTCTGTAATGTGTCTACAGACTCCTGGCAACATGTCCTGCTCCCTGTGCTCTGATGAGCTTTTGCCCCATGCTAGAGGCAGCTCCTTCTATAATAACGTTGCCTGTGGACTTTAATTTTTTTCCTTAATTAGTCCCCATTCCATCTTTGGAAGTGGCCTGCTTTGACTACCCTTACCTTACAAATGAAAAAGCTGATGAAAGGAGAGGATAAATGCCTTGCTGGGGGTGATGCGAGTCATTAACAAGGTCTCCTCTTCACCCTGCTGAACCCCAGGCCCCCCCCCAGTCATCCCTGTGTTTCTGTCCTTTAAATGTAACTTTACATATTTTTAAAAGTACTAAAATTGTGTATCTCATTCCTGCACCTCTACTGCTAATTGTTAACTTTATTTGGCATAACTGGGGAGTGGAGATCACCAGGAGACAGGCAGAAATTTCTTAAACCAATATTAATTTTTAAAAAGTGATTTGTGAAAATGATAAACAGTCAGTCAGTTACATGTTAAAAGCCCTATGCTGTATTGGCAAAAATAAAACCAAAATCACTTCAATTCAAGCAACTATTCAGTGTTCTCTCCTGTGATTTGCAAAACTCTTGCTAAGTCTTAAGACTACATTTTGCTCCATTCTGTTTTAGCTGAAAGAGCTGCAGAATGTGTTCTGTATGGTCAGGTAACTGTACCTCTTATATAAGTATTTCAAGCCTGCTATCATGGTTTGAATGCAAATGCTTTTAAGAGAAAATGTAGCAGAAAACCTGTGCAATTTAGAGCCTGACCTTCCTGAGAAAGAAGTGCATACTAGAGGCTAAAGTGCTGAGACTGGGACTTGTGTTCTCTTTTGCTTTGCTTCAGCAGAGATTTAGATGTGCCACATGGTCTAGGTCATTAAAAAATCTGCTTCAGGCTCCTTATTTTTGAAATAATGACGGTAAGAACTCACTAGAGACCACGATACTTGGGCAGAGTCTGAACGTGTTGCCCTGTTAAATCTCCAGGTGAGAATTACAATATTACCTGATGCTAAAACACCTTAACAGAGGTACTTTCCTCTTTTCCCCATCCATCTGAACTTCTCAGCACTTACTTCTGCCTGGCAACTTCCAGATCCATTTTATGGCTTTGCAGAGCTGCCTCCATCTGGCCCATCTCTAACTGAGCATTCCCAATGCAGCTGTGGAGGTTTCCAATCAGTTCATTCTTGTTGGGAACTTCATCATCTGACCACCCTTGTATTGTTTTTAGCACACGCTCAGCTTTCTTGCAGCTTTCTTCAGGGCAGTCGCCAGTCAGCACTGGAGACAAAGAGGAAAGTTTAATGCTAGGGTGTGTGGAGACCGTGATATTGGGGAAGTAAGACAAAGTGCAGTTGTGTAAGCCGCAGACAAAGCTTGGGAAAGGTTAGAGCTCCTCACTCTTCATGCATCTCCTACACTCCTCCCTCCAGTCCCCAAGAAATCTGCCCCTAGGAGATGGTACTTCTGACCCTCCACCTGGCACCACTGGAAATCCCTTTCATCGCAGCAAGTAAGGGGAAATGACTCTGGTAACACCTCACACTTGCTGAAGAAACATAAAGGAGAATGATGCTTGTCGTCCAAAGGTTTTGAAAGCTCGTAATTATTGCAGCAAGGCAGCCTGGTCTTGGAGATGAAGTTCAAGCTACAGTACTTAGGTTTTTATCTCCTAAATTAGCCCCTTGTGCCTTCCTAGTGAGCTCTGTTCATTGCGCCCAGCTGGGCTACAGTGCTGCAGCAATTAGACTGCAGGATGTTTCTGACACTACCTTCACCCCGCTGTTGTAGCTTAAAAGAACTGAATTGCAGTAACAACTAGTCTTTTTCCTGCATTGTAAATATGTAGCACAGGAAGAGAGAAAGAGACCAGAAGTGGCTGAGTTACTCCTTCCTTCCAGACCACTGTTTTTCAGCTGCTTCATCTCTCTACAAAGGTATTTTTGAACTACAGGAATTATTAAATCCAGCGGCCTGCATTCTCTCAATAAAACAACTTCTGATGACCAGACCAGAGGCATTTGCTAAGCATGCAGCAGTGGCCCACCTGGCTTTGATATCTAAGTGGTGTCCTGAAAACCAATCAGCAAGACCTCAAGTAAGGAAAAAGCTCAGAAAAAAGTGTTGAATTCTATATCTAAGAAAGTGTTGGGAAAGGGGAAGAATACAAAAGCAGATACTTCCCCAAAACTGCCTACTAGTGTTTGTTAATATTTGCACTGCTTCTGTTGTTCTGGTCTGTAATTACTACAGCAAATAATTACATGTGTCAATCATCATTTTCTTACTGTTTCCAGCCAGGACACCTACACATTTCAATGTCCTCCATACTCTTCACAATGTATCTGCCAACCTCAGCTGGTTTTTGTTTCTTGTCCCGCATCCACCTTTGCTGCCTGAGCTTGCGCTCTCTCACACGGGCATAAATAGGCTTCTGCTGCTGCCAGAATTCACTGCGTGTGTCCAGGTAGGAAATGCCACTCAAAACCAGGTCCGCTACTTTGATCCCCTGCTTTGTGCTGCTCTCCATCAAATCTGAAAATAAGGTGGTAGAACCCAGGAGAGTATTAATATATATGACGGATGAAGCTGCAGTTCAGTGGGGGACTGCTTCTGAATGTTCTTCTGCTCTGATAGAGGCATAGGCCTAGAAATTAAAGTCTTCAGTGCTCCTCAGAACTGATGTGATTAGGGGGGAAAGTTATGGAAAACTCCCTTGCTGTCACCCATTCTGTGTGTTTTAGCAAGCTAGAGCTGGTGCTCCCGGCCCCTGTAGTTGCTGCCTTCTCTGCTGGCAAGAGCCAAGAAGGGGCCTAGTTATTGAGGGCCAGCTGTGATGAGCGAGCACCCGTCCTCCTGCACAGAACAACTGTATGGGGCATTTGTACTGAAATGGCACTTTGAAAAGTGTTGTGGATTAGACTGCAAGATGGAAATTGAGAGGGCTTTTATATGCCTGGAAACCAGATAGCCCCCATTATTAATGCTGGTAATACCATAAAACCTGCGAGTAGACTAAATTCTTAATTACTTCTCTACGACTGGGTAAAGAGTTCCCTAGAAAAATTACTAAAGGGGAATCACCTTTCTGCCTAGTTCTAAAATAAGACACTTCTCTGAATCCTGCATCTTGATCTTAACAGCATTTATAACAAAACCACAAATGAGTTAGTCTTATGAGCAACGCTTTGCACTTAATGCAAATGTTAGTGGAATTTATCATTATGACAGAAGTTAAGTAATTTGTAATGATACTGTTTCTCCTTTTGATTTCATCTGCACAGATTGCTTTGAGTTGATTTACTGTTTGTTATAAAAGCCTGCCATTTAATAAGGAAGGAAATATGCTCATAGTTATGAATATTAGATCTGGCTCCAAAAATACCTGTACTCTCCAGACACCTGCCTCTTTCACAATCACTGCAAGCACTGTGTGCTATGTGAGCTCTGACACAGATGAGGAAGAGTCGTCATAGGGATATAAAAGAAGAACCTGCTTAGAAGGAACGTTTAGTTAAATACAATGGAGAAAGACCTTCATCCCTGAGCAACTTTTCTAGGTAGGCCTTGTCAGCATAAAGCTCTCCAAGAAGCTGTCGCTCTGTTTTTGGATTCCTCACAGGCTCCCGTTTCCTTGTCCATTTTTGGTCCTTAGTCAGTTTGACTTGGAGTTTCTGATTTGCTTTTTTGCTCTACAGCAAGAAAAGATAAAGGAGGTTGGGGGACGTTAGTGGGAAACAGTACAATTAGCAGAATTCTGTTTACATTCCATATAAGCCAACTTTTTTTTTTTTAAATAAAAGCAAAAACTCAGTGTCTCACCAATTGCTTTGGTCATGAGCAACTGAAATTTTGCACCCGATTATGCTCCCTCACTTCCAAGAACAGGAGGGGGCATTGTAGTATTAGTATAGCAGGCAGCACAGAATTAGTTCTGCCCCGGTGACTTGTACTGGTCTGGAGGGCTGCCTGGTCAGTGCTGTGGGAGGACGTTAAGGCTGTGGAAAAGGCAGGTCTAGTTGTCCACAGTCAAAGAAACAGAGGCTGTAACAGCGAGGGTTTCTGAAACGTGCAGAGGGTATTTCTAAAGTTTCACATTCAAAATCCCAACAATCACAGTGCTAATCTTTAGGCCCCTTTGTACAAATTATTTTTACCACCGAGTAGCCGTAATTCCAGCTGAAAGAAGCAATGAGCATTCACTGCACTGACTTCAAAGTGAAATGTGGCTTGGCATCTCGGAGGAACAAGGCACTACTTCAATGGACCACCCCAAAATTAAGCAATCGAGAAAGTGTCCATTATCAAAAATGTGAACCTTAAACATCAGGTAAAACCAAAGTAAACACTGTAGATAAATGTACCCTGGCTCCGACCTCTGTGCTGTTACTTATTAACCTTTGATGGGTGATCAGCAACACCAGACAGAAACAGTCAGGCTAGCAGAGAAATTTCAAACTGGCCTTTTTTTCTCCTTGGTTGCTCTTCCCTGCCCTTCTGCCTTCTCCCTTAAATTTTGTGTAGCTTGAGCCAGAATTACATTAAAAGCAGGTGCATAAATACTCTTATAACGGATCAGTGTGCTTCCTATGCTCAGAAGGCACTTCACTAGGCCAGCCATATCCACGCCCATGTTGCTGCAGAAACAATTAATCCTCTAATGCCTATTTCAGAAAGTATTAGCATTATAATAACTCTAGTTGGCTTCTAAAGCAAGAGCTCTTTAGACTGTACCTCTGCCTGCCTGCTTATAAAGCACAGATCCTCTTTATTCTCCAGTTTAACTGAGGATGGACCTGCAAATACAGAGAAGATACTTGTTAGTGTTCAAGAATAGCAGTGCAGAGGCTTTAGAAATTAAAATGACCATAAATGTGCCAAGCCTATAATATCCTGTTTGAAATAAAGCTTTCTGCTAGTTCACTCATATAAAATATGTGGATGTTGGTATGTTTGGTAAGCAGGGAACACAGCTCATAGATGCAGCTCCTCTCGGGATTTTAATTACTATTTTCACATTGCACCAGGGGGCTCCCATCACAGTGCAATTTTCCTACGGAGACATGCTACATCCTGCATGGAAACAGAGGAAGAAAAAGGATGGCAGGTTCTTCTGAGGGATCACAGCTGAAGCTTAGAACAGAAGGACAGCTCTAAGCACAGGGATCTCCAGCAATCCAGAGAACTGACATTAGGGCAAAACTCTCATTTCATTTTCACTCTGACATCCAGTTCTGCTATTCAGATTGCACGCTGGCAGTGGAGGTAAGAGTAAAAAACAGCTCCTTGTTTTGGCCTGGTCAGAAGGAAGGAAAGAGCTTCACATGCTGTTGTAGAAGGATTTCCTTCAGCAAGGCAACTGCGCCAAGATGAGCAATGTGAGTACACGTACATCATGGAAGGTAGGTGTTTCTGAATCTGCCAAGCAAAGCAGATTCAGTAAAGCAGTTTTGGGGATGTGCCCTGTTGATGTTAATGTGTGTGCATTTCCCAACTATTTAAACATCTAGATCAAATGCTAACATGTTTCCTTGCTGCTTTTCTCCTGCATCTAGGAGCTATCGCTTGATTAAAAATCTTCTTGGTTTTTAATCTGTTCATTTGCCTACAGCCCAGGTGCTTGAAGGTATTTAAACCTCTTAGCTCAGTATATTGAGCACAGCAAGCATTTCAACTGAGAGTTGCAAAGATATCTAGGCATTTGTATGAAGCTAAGAAAGCAGCAGTAACGGAGGAAAGCAAGCCAGATCTGGAAACTTTCCCTGTTTTTTTTAAATAAATACCACATATGAAGGAGCTTCAGGCTTTTATGCAGCTGGGACATGAAGTTCATCTGTGACACTTTGAAACTGATTTCAGGGAGAGTAAGGCACTTAACTATCTCAACATCAGGGCCTATGTGTATGGGTGTGCTGCAGGGTGTGTCCTGGCTCTGTGAAGGGACAGGCTGTTGGGGATCCACCTGAGCAGTCTCTGACTAGCCAGGCGGGTTTTACAGCGGCCTTGCCAGCTACACACAGGCTGCTCTGTGCGTGTGTCTAAGGTGGCAGCCCCAGCTGAGGCGTGTGTGCCTGAGAGTGAGTGCACGTCCTGTCCGTGCTTGTTGGCGTATGAGAGCGTTGCTAAGAGAAAAACTAAGGGAAAAGGGACAAGTTTTCAGTTTGCTTTGAACATCACTAGGTCCTTGGCCTTTCCTGCATCCTGCAGGACTCCATTCTATGATCTAAGCCAGAAATTATGAAAGCAGTGCTCCATTGCAACAGTCAGCAGTTTCACTGGTCTTATGCAATGTAAATTGGAGGAAAGTCAGGATCTCAGGAAGGCCAGTCTCGGGTAGCAAGGCAAATTTCATTACAAACTTTGAATATTAGGATAAAGATCTCAAAATGTATTCTGTAATCAGTAGGGCTGTAAGTAGATGAGCTGCTTTGTTCTGTATTACCTAAAACATTTTCATGGTGACTTTGGAAATTTAAGTTAGTGTCATAATTTACTTACATAACTGAAGTTATTAGACACTGTATATGAATAGGCATTCAGCCAAAACAAGAAGAAAAAAAGAACACGGCTGTGCTCTTTTTGGTGCTTCATGGTTTCACCTGAGTGGCCACTGAGTGCATGAATCCAGAAGCAGAGAGACTGCTGTTGCAGGGTCCTTGGGTCACTTGCTGAGCTACTATGCCATCAGCTGTCCACCGAACAGCTTCTGGCTGTGCTTGTAGGGGCCGTAAAACGAAACATCTTACTTCCAATGCAGTTGACAATTGCCTCCTGGGATTTCTCGATACCCAGCCTGAACTTCTGTAGTTCTGGACGTAGTCTGTAGCCTCGATGATAAAACACTAACGCAAATTCAAAATCACCCATGGTATATAATATCTCAGCTTTTTGGTAAAGTCCCTAAAATTATATTGGGGAGAAAAAAAAAGAGAAAAAAGAAGTTTGAGAGGTCTCAATTAATTCCCCGCTAGGCAGAAATGAGAGCCCTACACTATGGCTATCTGCATACAATAAAATCTGATCCTGAAACTCCTCAGTTGCTGACTAAGCACCTCCACCTCTCTGGAAGCAATAAAAATGTCAAGGGTGTGTTTAGTTAGCTCTTTCTACGCAATACCGTCTCCCAGACCCTTCAGAATTTCACAGATAGAAGACCGGTCCTTGGCCACCCCAGACTGTTACCAGTTCGTGCTGTTTACCTTGGAGAATGTTTTGTCATTTTGGAGAGAAGCTTCAGCATCTTTCAGGGAATTTTCTGTGTCTCCAAGTTTCAGGTAACATTTCGAGCGGGCGACTAGACAGTCCTTGTCTCCTGCTCTCAGCTTCAGCGCCTGGAACGCAGCAGACATGGGTAGGCCATCAGTGCCGGCTCAACAGCACAAACACATAAAAGCACAGATATTTGATGCAACCTGCTCTGCCCCAGCACAGCTCCTGATGACGGACGAGGATAAAAACCCACCGCTTTCACTGAAAAAAGTATTCTCTTGCTGTTCGCCCATTCCCTCTGCTGCAGCTACCCTGCCTTTCCATGCCGGAGGTGCTGCAGCCCCTCTCCCAGCGCTCCCCCACTCCAGACGGGAGCTGCACCCCCTCAGCCCCCCCCCGCCGTGTGTCACCCCCCTCACGCTGCGACCTTCAGGCGCCCTTGGGGACAATTCCCCTCCCGCCCCCACCTCGGTGGGCCGCGTCTCCACCTCCCCCCGCCGTGGGTGCCCCCTTCCCCTACGTCCCCCTTCCCTCCGCCACCCGCCCCAACGCGAACCGAGTGCCACCGCCACGCGTGGGCCTTCGCGGCCGCCACCTCCGAGTGCCACCTCGGGGCCCCCCTCCTCGCACCCACACCCACCGCCGCCCTCGGCCGCGCCGCGGCACCCTCACGTTGTTGAAGCAGGCCAGGGCCTTGCCGTACTCGCCCCGCCGGCACAGCAGCGTCCCCTCGGCCATGAAGCTGGGGAAGGTGCCGGCCGGCACGGAGTCC